GGTATGACAACTTGAAGTTAGTTTTGATCCCGATACCCATTTAACTGGGTCCATTGAACAAAAAGAAAAAAAAAGGAGAACGTTGTTTTCCTTGGTGAGGCTCGAACCCACAACATTCACGTCTACATCCAGACCGCGTGGTTTACTAACTATCTATAGAACAGGCCGGTCCCAACAAAATTTGCGCCACTGGTGATAGTTAAATTCTAATTTTGGTTAAGACCATGCAACACAGATCCCCCTAATAAAAAGAAAACCGCATTCTCCAGGTGAGGCTCGAACTCACAACCTCCGCATGCCTACATCGTAGCCAGACGGCGCTGGGTACTGTCTATAAGTACAGCGCGCTAACCAATTGCGCCACTGGAGATAGTTAATCCTTAAAATCGCTTAATTGATTAGGACCCTGAACCACATTTCCCTGTAATAAAAAGACAATCTTTTTCATCAAGTGTGGTTCGAACTCACAAATCCTCCCCATCTCCCTAAGCCTATAGTATAGCCACACGGAGTGGGATACAGCGCGATACACCATTGCACCACTTGTGACAGTCGAATTCATAAACGCCACAGTTTCCCCTTATAAAAAGTAAACCTATTCTCCAGGTGAGGGTCGAACTCACAACCTCCGCATGCCTACAGCGTAGCCAGTCGGTCGCTGGGTACTGTCTATAAGTACAGCGCGCTAACCAATTGCGCCACTGGAGATGGTTAATCCTTAAAATCGCTTAATTAATTAAGACCATGAACCACAGTTCCCTCTAATAAAAAGACAATCTTTTTCATCAAGTGTGGTTCAAACTCACAAATCCTCCCCATCTCCCTAAGCCTATAGTATAGCCACACGGAGTGGGATACAGCGCGATACACCATTGCACCACTTGTGACAGTCGAATTCATAAACGCCACAGTTTCCCCTTATAAAAAGTAAACCTATTCTCCAGGTGAGGCTCGAACTCACAACCTCCGCATGCCTACAACGTAGCCAGTTGGTCGCTGGGTACTGTCTATAAGTACAGCGCGCTAACCAATTGCGCCACTGGAGATAGTTAATTCTTAAATCGCTTAATTGCTTAAGACCGTGAACAAAAGTTCCCCCTAATAAAAAGACGATCCTTTTCATCAAGTTTCGAACCCACCAATCCCCCCCCCCCCCCCACCCCTCTGCTCCGCATAAGCCACAGGGAGTGGGATATAGCGTGATACACTATTGCGCAACTTGAGACAGTCCAATTCATATGAACGCTTATTTGAGACCATGTATCACTAAACCACATCTCCCCGTAATAAAAAGAAAAACATATTCTCCAGGTGAGGCTCGAACTCACAACCTCCGCAAGTCTACAACGTAGACAGTCGGTCGCTGGGTACTGTCTATAAGTACAGCGCGCTAACCAATTGCGCCACTGGAGAGGATTAATTTTGAGCTGCAATCAAAGATATGAAACCAAAGACGGCATTGGGCATTTTTTGCTTTTTTTTCTACGTTATTTTCACAGAACTACAGCAAATCAATGAATCGCAACCACAATTATTGTTTCATTTATAATAGCGGTTATCTGGAATTGCTTGTTCTACACTAACGGTACTAAATATATATGTCTTATTTAATGTTTTATTTTTGGCTATAACATCATTATGTTCGTTTTTCATATGTCTTCCATAATGTAAAACTTTAAATGAAAGCCGAAATGGTATAATAATAATAATAATAATAATAATCCGTTTTTTTATATAGCGCTCAATACACCGATCCAACGATGTGCACAAGCGCTTTACAGATATATTAGATATCTAGATCTAGATCTAGATCTAGATCGAATCACATTAAATTAATCGATATGAGATGGAGAGAACAGAACATGCGTCAGACAGACAATAGATAACATTTCTATTTGAATATTTTAGAAAACAGTGGCGACACAGAACAAGTTTTCTGTCGGAAGTATACTTTTTTGGGGTGACAAACCGCACAAATTAATAATCTGACTTGTTGTCTATTTCTTTTTAAATCTGACAAATAGATTTTAACCTAAGCTGGTCGGGAAATTTGAGAATCTGATTTTGGTTGCTGTGTTATCATTCCTTGATTAAAAATAATTCAGCTAACTACCCCTCCCCCATAACAATGCTATAGCGATGCGCTCCTGTGCCCTTTTAGACTAATCATTAATTTAGGGTGCGAAAATGAGTAGTTTCAGTATTATCAACGGCATCTCGCTCATTCCTTTCACAGTGATCTTTTATCAAAATGTTATTGTATGCAAATCAGCTCTCCACATAATTATATCTATTTTGGATTTCACCGCTCGTATATAAAGTTGCGGTATTTTATCGCCATTACTGCGCAAATCTTACAACATTAGTCTGTAACTATTTATATCAGAGTATATTATCCAAACAACAATATTTGTACATGCAGTGATATTAGACTGATAAACTAACGAATCGGGGTTAATTGGTATTTGCTCGAAAAGCAATACAGAAGATGCTGTCTGTGTGATGAATTTACAAAATAGGGAGCGAAAATAATAACCATGTATTTATAAAACGTGACTCATCATCATCATCATCATCTTCTTCTTCTTCGAAACATGTTGACGGCTGGTTCGTAAATTGAATTGTAATTGGGACATTGTAAATGCAGCGAAAAGAGAAACTACTTGAGCATGTTCTAATAGTAATATTACACTTTTAATGATAATAAACATGCTCCTGATCGTGTTTTTCTAAAAAAAAGTTACACCGTCATTATTTTTCTTTCGCACCGTCGCTGAATCCGCCGTTACAATGACAACAGTTTGGCAGCATTCTACTCCAAAACCACAACACCGCACGCATCAACTTGCGCTGACACCAAATCGAACTTACCCCAAATGAATGAAAGAAACTATTGACAATGGACAATGGGGGTTTTAAAACCAGTTAATATTTGAGCCATTTCGATCGCAAATGTCTCTTTCTTAAACACTTGACGTCGATTTTGGCATACCTTTTATGTGAAATCATCATTTAACTTCTATTTATATGTGCATTAGCTTTTAAAGAGGAACAGGCAACTTGTTGTTTGGTGTCTATTGGTATGACAGACACCGCAAGTGCCACTTAGGATCAATTCAGAAATGATAAAGTTTACAATCCGTGACGTGGGTGGAACAATGCAAGCGATACAGTATGATCATTGATAGCTGTGTTTAATTTTCAACGTATTCCGAGGCAATTTACTTTTCAATAGGGGGTATAATTCTGTGGTTTTTAATTTTATCTTTTGATCAAGTATCATAGCGGGGCGTAGTTTGTAATGAAGCAAAAGACTGCATTAAGATTAATGTTTATGTGTCTGTCAATCGTATCCAGTGAATTGTCAAATCTGTTTTTATGTTTTCATTTTTTTCTACCTTGAATTCTCGAAATTTATAGAAAACGTTGAGTCGAGGTAGACCACGACAATCGAAACAATTGTACCGTAACCGTTTTATGTTTTCTTGTTTCTTCAAGGTCCGCAATATGAATCGCCTGTTGTAAAGTGTCTATATATTTTGATTTATTGAGAATGGCACATTCAAATGTGAACTTCAAGATGAGTTTCTTGTTTAAAAGAATTATTATTGTTGCACGGTTTCTAAGTAAACGCAAATTAACTTATTTCATGAAGGAGGAAAACTGGAACTCTAAACATTCAAACTTTCAAAGAAAAGTACATGAGTTGCCATCATTTAAAACATAATTATGAGTGATGCCTGTCAGAGTCTCGATAATGACAACTCGACGCAATCAGAATCACGGGAGGGGGGTCGTTCTATAATTTTTTTTTCTCGCTTTTTCTTTCCCAATCTCCCTTCTTTCTCTCTCATGTTTTGTTTTACTTTTATTTCTTTAGCCTTATTTTATTTTGGGGGAGGAGGGCATAGACCCTATTGCTCCTCCGTATATATATGCCACTACTTAAAATGTATTTCTTTTTCTTCTTACACGCCTATATACTATAAGAACAACGTAATGTGTCAGCACAACATGATTACCACACACTATAAAAGGAAGGAAGCAAAACCACATCACTCCTCTCGGTATTTTTGGTAGTGACCATCAACTCGTTGTTCTTCTATCTCTTATCTGTAATTTCGCCCTTGCATAGTTATGAATGCACTTTCACTGAAAAAGATATCTTATATAAACGTGTCCAAACCAAGGATTTGATAAAACAATTTCAAGATGTCATTGAAAGATATATACAATAGACATGCTAATTAGAAAAGATAGGAAGACATTTACAGAGGCGTTGCTAAGGGGGAGGAGGGTTAGGTCACCCTCATTAAAGTGTGATCGCAGCGCCCCTTCTTTATCAAAGGTCAGTGGCGTATCCTAGCCGGCATACCCCCTTTTTCTATTTGAAGTATCAGACAAAAGCAAATAGCATCCTTGCCGGTTAAGACTCATGTACCCACTCCAATCTGGGGAGGACCCCCCCCCCCCTCACCTGTTTATCATTTCCTGGATATGCCACTGCAGCTGGATATTAGGCATAACATTAATGAGCTTTGTTACAGTCATCTTATAGGCATGTATTTTTTCTTATATGCATTGTTCGGGCAGTATTAATGAGTAAAGGATTCGTCCTTTATACCATGCTGTTAGTTTATTCTTAATGTTCGCAATGTCCACAGTGATTCGAATTCCTAAACCCACCCGTCATCATCACAAACTGTAAAAGAACATGGTCAGTGATGCCATTGAAAACCGAAGATCATTATTTCGTAATTTCCTGGACTCCGTTTGTATTTGTCTGAGCTGTCCCTTGGTCATACTATTGGTTGATTGGCATATCTCTGTTGATATCGCCCAAATCGACATTGACATGACAGTCATTACACAGTTACTGTGACTTGTTTCCCCGTAGCTCTCGATGGGTTAAGCAGACAAAACCAATTGGGGGATGATTGGTCCTAAACTAGTTATCTAGTTAGTCAGAGCATAGACCTACCACCAACTGGACAATCATCGAAGCGTTTGGGCTGAAAAGATGATAGTCACCGCGCGTAACCTGATCGCAGAATGCGACAGCTGAGAAGTCTCGCGAGAGCAGTAAATCATTACGCAATTATCCAGCTGTCGAATCGAAATTCATTCGCTGCTTCTTCAATGTCTACGTTTCTGTGTAGGTCGCAAGCGGCAGCGAAATTCCGCATACGCTGCTTCTATACCGTATGCCACGTTGGTGTATTACGATACATCGTCTCCGAATGGTCCTCGGGAGCAGCGTACGCCTGAGATGCAATTTACCGTGCATGTACGAGAATATATATCTAGACTAGATCAGCTGTGTACGCGATAGTCATGGCAATGCCAATGGCCTTTCCGATGGAAGATTTCTCCGATATTAGTATTGAAGAGTTAGAGGACTGGAATGATCTTGTACTGAATCCGCATGATGATGAGATTGGCATACATACAGTGGATGATTCCGCTAATAATTCGAGTGAACTTAAACGGAGTGCGTCATCAGGTAACCGGCATTATTAAAATTATTTGTTGTGTAGTCCCATCCATTATTGTTGATGTTGCAAAATAATAATGTTTAGACTCTAAACGTTTGTGTGTGGTGGACACGGACGATGCTGCGGATGATCGGAGCTGAAATCAAGAATCAACGATTGTGTGTAATAATCTCTACACTTAAAACTCAAAAACACGAAAAAACGTAGACTAGACCCTATGTAACTCTAAAATTACATAATATAAACAAAAGAACTCTAGAAATCTAGACCTAGCTAGAGCCTAGACTAGTCTAGAGATAAGCAGATAGATCTAGGCCTAAATCTAATCAGAATAATTAAATTATTGTTAACACGAAGGCGAACAGCATTTTAAATTTAAAAAAAAAAAAAAATTGTCCTAAAAAGTAGATTTAGTAATGATTATTTTATTAACTGTACAATACTTTGTTTATATATGAAGTCACTCTTGTCAAAATTATGAAAATGATATAAATGCAAATAATTGTTTTCCCCATGTCTGTACAGATCAAGGACCAGGCACAAGTCGTCATCTGGATTTGTTCTTCACTGTTTTAAAGAAGTCCTCTTGAGTGTTGACTTTTGTTTATTTTTTCTTTCTTTTTTTAGCCACAGCTTCTGAAAGTGGAGGTGCTTCAAATGACCGTCCAACAAAGAAGAACAAGGCAACATCCAAGGGCAAGGCAACATCCAAGGGCAAGGATCATCCACCAAAAAAAACAAAAGGTATTGGTTGTAATCAATTTCTATCATAAGTATTTGTACATTTAGTTAAGTTAATTTGTATTGGCCTAATTTACTCAGACTATAATATTTACCAAGTTTGGAGATGGTATGTGCATGGGAATCGGTAGAAGAATGTTAAATGCGTATTATTATTTACTGTAATTTCTGTCAAAATACTTTTTTTTTTTTTTTTTAGACTTTAAATACATTCCAGCCCTGATAGTTTCATCTAAATTGGTGGTCCTACTAGTGTAATTTGTTTGGCATAGTTTAATACTACATCCCTAATATTGATGAGACATTATTATAGTTTAACTTCAAAGTATTTTATTGTCAAATATCTCTTTGTAATAAAACGAAATTAAGTTTTTCCTTTTGTTTATTATTTTGCAGCATATTTTGTCATGACAGATGAGGTTCGTTGTGAACTACAGGGTGCGTCGAAGGAAACTGTGGCAGAGATTTTAGATACCGTGTCAAGTGCAGAACAATTTTCAGGCGAGCATGGCTATGGTTCAGATGTGCGGAATTTAGCATGCCAAATGATAGCCAGGAAAGGAGATGCATCTTTTGCAGTACTCTGTGCCCACACAATAAACAATATTTTAGATATGGTTCAGGATTTGAACAAGACTCCCATTGGCTCAGGTTTACAGGATGAGACTTTCAAACGGTTCCATTCATTGAGGACATGTAAGGAGCAGAAAGTGGAATGGAACACATTTCTCCAAGATAACAATCTAGATTCTTCCAAAGCAATTGTCGGTACTTTGTTATACCAATTTGTCCTTGAGACGGCACTAGATAAGGTAGTATTAGAGGTAGGGAAACGGCAGGACTCATCCTGTGAAGACACGGAACGTAAGAAGAGCCAAGACGATGGTGATCGGGAAGCGCAGATCCTTAGATATATTTCTGGGTTTATACCGTACGCCCTAGGAAAGCGGTATCAAAGATCCAAGCAGACACTTGCCAAGGAGTATGTGGCGATACTACAATCCTGGAGATCAACCAATGACAAACAGACAATGGCCCCATCATTTTTGTCATACACAGTGGCATGGGTGGAGATGCAAAACAGAGGAGGGCTTTTTACAGTCACTGATGATGTTTTTAGATTTTTTTGGGCTTTGGAAAGGATATCCAAGGGTTATCTTAATCAAAATATGTGTTCGTTAAAAAATAAGAATCTCAAAGAAAATCTAACTGCCAAATGCCGCAATAATGAAAATGTCTTAAAAATATGGAAATCCTTGGTTCAATCTTGCTCTGTAAAAATTGATGTTGAACCCCTTTTTATATCAGTTGTTAATTACTGGGTTAAAATCCGAATATTTGCCTTTGTAAAAGCATACAATTTACTTCGTAAAGATACCAAAAAAACATCTCTTAAAGGGGAGAAGAGTCTACGTAAAGAACTTCTGAAGAAATAAGTAATAACCGCTAGTAGAACCGCCGCTACACTGCCTGTGATGTTGTATTAGGTCTTCATTTGTCAGAACAGTTATCTTTAAAGTTGTCAGAGCCCGTTGTTAGATTCTCAGATGAAATTCGAATCCACCTGTATGAATGTAATATTTCTAGGAGACACATTTTCTTTTGGTGTACGTTGTGCACATACAGTTTTGTTATAGTGGTTATAGTTATTAACATGCAAATGTGATTTGTAAGCTGAACCTTTACTTTATTTTCTTACATCGTATGTGAAATGTGCGTTATAAACTGTTGTGAATTATTTTTCTTAGTTACATGCGCGTCATAAAATATGATATTCTTTTAAATAGTATGCTTACATTTTAGTGAGTATAAGTGTTCTAATGATGTGTACTTTATGACTTGCTATTATGTTGAAGTCTATCAGGTGTAGGGAAAAGGAAATGTTTTTTTTTAACTGAATTTTTAAAAATTATTTTCTTTTGTCCTACTTTTGTCCTACATGTAGAATAAACTATAACAATTACAAATTCATGTTATATATATTTTTTAACTCGAGGTATTTCAGTAACCCATCAAGGACGATGGCCCATTTATTCCTAGCTTGGTAGTCCTACACTTCGGCAAGATGATTATTAATTATATGAAGTGTACAAGGAGAAAAGGCTTAAATTTCCCTTTTTATCCCTACATGTATTTTGATACTCTACCAGCTTTGATTATATTTTAATGATTTGTATTTATTGCCAATTTGTTCTGGAAAATAATGATCAATTTGCCTTGAATTAGCTCTCGTCCTTAATGGGTAGATCTATAAAGGTAACATTGACATTAACATTATACAGTGAAACCTCACAATAAGCAGATCGGACCAAGTAAATGACCTCATTATATCGGGAAACTCACAAAACAGCTTGTTAAAGAGGTTCGACTGTACATAATATTCTAGGATTCTCCATTTAACCAGTTCAGGACTGGTCCGAAAAAATAATTGGGTTCATGGAGAATACATTTTGTATAAAAATCTGTCAGTCGTTAGCAGGTTAAGAAATTTTGTATATAAAAGATATGTGCAAGTAGATATGTCGCCAAGAAATCATCTTTTCATCTTTTGAATGTGTGTTGGGGGGGGGGGGGAATAAAATTCATGAGAAGTAACTGAAATATACTGTGATTGTTAGTAATGCACAATATGCAGTTCAAGAGCTAGCCTGAGGTAACTTGCATATACCTTTTAAGTTTTAATGGACTTTAATAATAAATTACTCTCAACACAAGTTTTACATGATTGTCATGATTGAAAGGCTTTTTATTAACAACTTTTTAATAAAAAAATTCCTCTATAAATGTATATGCTGTTTCATGTATTTACTTAAAATTCAATACAACATCTCATGGGAATCAGTTAAAAAATGAACAAGTCATATCCATTTGAAATTATCACACATCTCAAATTCTCAATAAAAGTAAGTGATACATTAATTTACAAGATTTTCCCAGAAAGATATTTGTGACTTCAATAATATACTCATATAAGATTCTTTGTATATACATATTAAAAACAAAATGGAACAATGTTTACCCAATGAAAAAATGGTACATTGATTATGTGTATCCACAAAGTATCACCTTTCTGATAGTAATTCTTCTGTCACCACAATCTGAACAAGAGCAGTGTGAAAGCTCCAAGTGCTTTTGGTTGAATTTGGCAAAGTTAATGGATCACTTTAACCCTTTTTTCCTTCTTGGCCTGGGAGAGTTTCACATGGATCCTAAGTTGAACCATCAACTTTATTTCTATGGTTGAACTAAAATTATGGAAAGCCATTTGTAGCCGTATATTACAAAACATTTTTTTTTTTCAAGGAAATTAACGGCTCTCCATTAATTCTAAGTCTAACCTCAAGTTAAGTTTCACTAAAGATCTTTGTGAAACACCCCCTTTGTCTGCTGGTCAAGCAATTATGGCCTGAAGTTAATTTAAAACACCTCCAAACCATTATGCCAGTGGTAGTAATACATGTATCGAGCACTGTCTCAATAACTGGGATGTTTGTAATGTAACCTAGTTCATGATAAAGATGCACAAGAAAACATTCCGTCAAAATTCGACTACATTAGGTAATCTGTGGTCATGAATAACATTTGTTGTAGAGATGAACAAATAATTTTGATTGTTTGTATAGCACAAAAATGTTTTCCAACTTATATCATGGAAATGTATCTTTGATCCACTTTTGTGGATATATTGCAAAGCAGGCCATCGTCAAGAAAAAGTGGCCAGTACTGGGTCCCATTTCTAATCGTTGTTAATACTTTAAACACAACTACAATATTCCCTGCTGATTGGCAACTGACATAGTAATTACAAAAATTTTACATTTACACTTGAGAAAGTTATATGAAACAGTAATCTTGTGAAATTTCCTTAAGGTGATCTAATCAAGAATCATGTATTAACGTTTCAGCAGCAACGTTGATATAATAAAAAGTTCCAATTTAAAGGGAACAAGTACCCCATAATTAATAATATTATTATATAATAATAGGTAACATTTTTAGTAGTCCTTTCCACCAACAAGTTCAGAAAAATGGGTTTTCAAACAAACTGGAAAACACATTACCATACTAATAAAAGCTTGAGTTCATGTGTCAACATCTACAATTTGTCTAGGACGAAGGCATCTTCCACGATTACATTGTCTCCAAACGAACACATGAAAAAGGCTTGGTGCAAACGGAAGCATGAGGCCATTTTGGTTCCCTACACGGTGATAATAAATTGTATTGTTTATAAATTACACAACCTTTTACAGAATGTTGGGCAACTATTTAATATAATTCAACGCTACCAAAATGTATGTGTTCTTCTTTGCCTGGTGATTCCCTTTAACATTAAAACGACTCGGGTTGGCACATCTGGAAGACGTAAACAGACTTTGTTTCAAATCTTGATGTCCCTTTCTATGGAATAGTCTTTCAAAAAATGTCATTGTACACATAGATGTACAAGCCAAAATGAATGAAATCAAAATGACAAGAAATCATCTTCAATCATTTTCTCTTTTTACTACCATGTTCCATGTTGCCAACATGTCTTTTCCTTTTGGGAAGTGGGAGTCCTTGTACATCATCAGTCCCATCACTCTTGGTCACATTCCCATATTTTGATGCTTTGACAGCAGCACCTGCAACCTGCAAAGTCAACATGTTATTTGCTACCTGCTGAATAGTAGGGTTGTCATTAGAACCTCCTGCACCTCGCTGTTTTGAGAAGTATTCCTCAATAGGATCTTGTGAAAATTTCTCTGACAAGACGTACTGTACACCTTCTTCCACCAACAGCTCCTTAGTCAATTCAACGAATGAATTCACTGCAATCATAAACAAACAGAAATGAACACTCAATAATTTTTTTTTAATATCAAGTGGGATTGTATAACAGAATAAATCAATCAATGGTATCTATTTAAAAATCTAGCAGATATTTATGGTTTGTATTGCACTGCTAATCACTGAAGACATTTCAACTGTGATTTTCAAAAAGATACTACTCACTAGAAACACAATGATTTTGATTTCTGGCCCCCCAAAAGAAACAAATAAAAAGGTTCCTTATGTTAGTTAGTAAATGTATCTACAATTAGTGGCCTGGCATGACTTTTGAGTCCTGGAAGGGAGACAAGCAACTCTTACCAGTTATTCTCAATCCATCTCGTGTCTCTTTGCTGATGCATCTTCTTTCTCGTTCAATTGCAGACAGGTTGGGTGAATCAGCAATTGCCTTCTCCCAGTCAGATAGGTACTGCAAGAAAACGTCTCTCAGCCACTGAAATTTAAATTTGAAAAATTGATTCCAAAACATTTAACAGAAAGTTGGCGTAAGGCCACAGTGAACTTAAAATATTTCAAATATTTTTATCTAGCACAAATCACAATTAATGCCACATGATAGGGTGAGAATAAGGGAAAATGAAGTGAATTATTTTTGGAGGGAGAAATTTTGAAGCCTGTGTGAAAATCACACTCTAAGATCGCTTTGCATTGAACTCTTTGTAAATTCAGGGGGTTCTTTTGGGGACAGAATGCCCATAGCCTCCCTGTTTTTTTCGTTTTTTTTGCACTGGAATAACTTTATATGGCCACAAACATTTTTGAATGTTGTATGTAAACATAAACAATGTGTCATTTTATAAAGACATATTTATTAACATGAATAAGACTGCCAGTGCCTAGAATTATACTACTTTATATACATCGTACCTCAAATCTGCTATCGTCAACATCACGGTAGGGCAAGAGATTGGGATTTCTCTTCCGTTGGCCTTCTGATGCAGTGGACACGTTCAGACAATCGAAGAACTTGTTGAACATTTCAACAAACTGCCTAGTTCCATCGGTAGAGGTATCCCCGGTGTTGTCACTCCTGAGTTTCAGTGCGTTTGCAACCGATTTGCTCAACACCTGGAGAATAATTAAACAAGAATGTACAAAAATAAAAAATTACTGTGAAAAAACATGTGACAACGTAGTTGATAGATATATACATTTATTTGCACATTTGTAATATGTCCATGATATCGTTAACAGGGCGCAACCCCCCCCCCCCCCCCCCCCGCAAAAAAAAATTTAAAAATTTAAAAAAAAAATTAAAAATAAAACAAAAATGTAATACTTAACGATTATCAAATTCTCAGTCATCTCTGTAAAGAAGTGTGGAAACCAAATTTGAATACTCACTTGAGTTGCTAATTTGACTCTCATGCGGAGGGAAGGGTTCAAGTACAGGTGTTCATGCGATAATCTAGGTAGGAGTCGCAAGTCCGAGGTGCAGTCCCATTCATAAAGCTGAATTAGATGTGTCCAGCGCATGTGCTTCTCGCCAAACTGAAATCAAACAAAGATATAGCATGAATTATTTCATTTTATCAAGCTGTAATACAGATAATAAAATTTGATACTTGTAAGGCTTTGTTATATGACAGACTATATGAATAAAGAGAGAGAGAGGGGTAAATGTAAATTTAATTTCAGAATTGAAATAATTGAAAATACAGTACAATTTATAATCTGTTACAAATATGTTTGAGCGAGTATTGGGCAAAGGTACTGTAGGTATACAATGTACATGTACAGGTTGTAGGTGTGTGTGTATTGTAAGGAAATAAACATGGAATAAAATATTTTAAAAAATCATGACATGAACATGGGACGCACCTCCAATATGGATTTCTCTATTTTCATGTACACTAACATTTCCACAGGTATTTTTTCTTAATTTGAAGAAAAAGATTAAATAAGACACTGCTCATTAACACACTTACTTGCAAGTTCCTACTTTTGCGGTTGAATCCAGAATTCTCCAGGTTGTTGCGTGCTGTTTTCAACAGATGCGGAACATCGCAGAAGAAGTAGATTTTTCTGTCCTGATCAGCGGGGTTTATGGTGTAGTAGCCGTGAACATCATCAGTGCATATCCGAAAAAATTTCCTGTTACACGATGCCCCATCCGCCACAACAACTCGTACCTTCAGCCCCGCTGTCTCGACGGCCAAGACTGTTTTCATGACACAGTCATAGATTTCCCCGCTGCGTAGAGATGAAGTTGGGAAAAGGGCTACAGCTTGCTTCGCGGGAGAAAACAAGCCACGAACCATGATCATGAATGCATGGCTTGCAAGTTCATCTGTGTCCTCCTTTAGGCGCTTTTCAAATGCACGCAACTCATTATTTATGCTGCCTACATCTACAAAACCAATGAGTTCTCCAGTCGAAGAAGAGTACACTATGCCTGATTTAGTCTTCATTTCATCACAGATGAGTGATACATTTCTTTGGAACTCGTGCTTCAAATTCATCTCTTTGATAGTTTGCTGTATCATATCGTGATGGACTCCTGTTTTCGGTTGTGTGTAATGTGTATACTTTGTAAGTGTTCCTATTGCAGGTAATATCAAAAACTTACTGTCTTTGATAAGTTTGTATGCTGCGGGGGACTTGCTGTGCACAGCAATTGCCCATCGAATAACCGATGGATGCCATCGCATCTGTCTCCTGTCTCCTGTCTTCAACGCCTTTGTTTGCTCCTCCCACAACAGCTTTTGTGCCGACTTATCCACAAGATTCTCTTCAATCACCCCCGCTGCACCTTTCACCATCTTTTCAATCTCTTCCGTGTCTCCAACCGGCACACTCTCCTCTCGAAACATTTTCCTTATTTTGTCCTGAAGTCTCCTCTGGCTACTCTTTACCTTCATTCTGTCCTTCTGTATGTTCCTAGCTCTGGATATCAGTTGCTTTTTCGACAGAGATTGCAACTTGGCCTTTGACGAAACACGTGCTTTCATAGGTGAAGACAACCTATTCCTATTCTTCATAGATAATAAGTCACTCCTCTGGATGGAACACACGCTGCATTTACCATTGTCCTCGGCCACAAGTTTACAATTAATGCTGCGGACTGTTTCCTCCGAGTTGGTATCGACTACGTACCCTCTGATGTTTTTGTTTTTAAGAAAGTCAACAAAGTCCTTGTTTCCAACACATACCTTGGACTCGGCTACAGATCTAACAAGTCCCTTGACAGATTCTTCATCCAGAAGAAGAGGGATACCATGCAGAATATTTGCTGAAGGTGCTACTTTCTTGCCCACAAAGGCAACTTCCCATGTCCTGTCTTCAAATATGGCGATGCTTTTTGGAACGCAGACATTGTGCTCCTTTACAATGACTGAGAAGATCAAAATCCGATCATGTTGCTTGCTGAACGACAGCCCATACTCCTCCGCTGCTTCCATCCCTGCTTTTACAACATTTGGGGTCGGAGCAATTCCATCCACTTCTTTACACATCTCACATGTGTCATCATGCTGCTTAAACTCTCTCAAAGGAATGTTGACTGTAAATACCTTCTTCTTCCTTTTCAAAAGTTTGAATCGTGCCAGCTTCCTTTCGCATGTAAGGCAAATAAAGGGTGGAAAAACATCCCCATCTTCCTCCTTTGTATCGATATGAAGTGCCTCTTGGATAGTCCTTTCAAACGCTTCCTTCTTGTATGGATTCCTGTTATCAGCTATTGCAGTCTTTGTTCCACAGAGCCGGCAATACTGTTTCAGGAGCTCTCCGTGCCTAGATGCCATCATCAATCTGTTTTAGCACACACACAAAAAGGGAAATGGTTAATATATAATTCCATCTTGATTGTATCATTAAAATTGGTACAGAAGAAGTTAAATAAATATTTCTTGGACACCAAAACTACAATAGATATAAATTATTATTATTGTTAAAATAAGATGACACCACTCATTGCCAAGTAAAATATAAAATATGTAATTTATTAAATTAACCAATTTTAATTTTACTGGTGCGAAGCAGAAATACATGTAGATGTTCGCATTCATATTCAGGTGTCATGAATTATAATACAAGCATGAGTCAATCACAATATCTAACTTCATGCTGAAATTTACATAATAAGGCTTTAATTACATTTATCCCAGTTATTATTATTATTATTATTATTTATTCGGCAAAGGAAAACATTACATATCAGTGTACACAATACAAAATAAGACATAATTATCAACCATTGGAACGCCAGGGACAGAAAAAGTTAACTAAATTAGACTCTACTGTGGCATAAAGCCTCCTGTCCTGTCTAGTCTCCAGAGAATCTGAAATCGAACCAGAATTGAGCCATAGTCGACATAGACTCTTACTTTTACATTTGTTTAGTCTTATCATTTATATGCGTTGCTTTGAAACTAGTAAAAAAAAGTAAACCGTAACCGTTGGCGTTACCATTTACATTTTCAATCACTCAATCAGTCAATGCACTTTACACACACTGGCCTGGAAGAATACTGGGCTAGACTTTTCCCCGGATATCCCCACATGTGGTTATTTATGTAAGTAAAAATCAAGTCTTCCATATTCTAGTTCAATTTTCTTTTATTTTTTAAATGACAAACGAGCAATGGGAAAGCTTGTTATTATTTGTTTGTAAATTGTAATAGGCCTAGACCTAGTTTACTTATTGTTCTACCGGTGGTTAGCATAATCTATAGTAAACATTACATTTCGTACTCGTACGTACGCTTGCATGTGATAAGCAACACTTTTCCGTAGAAAATGCCCTGCAAAATGCGTAGGCGTGACGTAACCATTACAATTTTCACGAAAATCGGTGAAATAAGCCTCAAGTTTAGTATTTTTTTTCTGAATGTGCAAACAACTGCACATCGCTAATACAACATTCAACGTGAAGACGGGAATACAAAGTATACAAATACGAGATGTAAACGATGGAGAAATGTGCGGAAATATCCGAAAAAACAGGGAATCTAAGCAAGTTTTTGAAAGGTGAAGTCGTACCTACCTTTATCGAACGGTTGATCTTCGGATTGATGTCAAATCAAGAAGGATTGGTGAAATTCAATCGGATTTTTTCAGGCTTGTTCGGAGTATCGTAAAGAGAAACTGCACATAAATACTGCTATACTATGAACACCAATGTTATACTGCGCATGACACTTTCTTCCGGGTGACGTAGTATGGCTAACACAAAATCGAGTTGATGAATGCAAACTATAAGCGAATCGTCAAAAGAGGGCCGGGGAGATCGCGGTGACCATCATCGAGCAAAAGGGTTTAGTGTAAACATTCCCCGCGGCGAAAAGTCGTAAAACTGAGTAAAGTGCAAGTAAAGCATCGGTCAGCGCGCTATCAGCTCGGAACAGGTGCAATCGATCAGTTTTCCAGCGATGATTGTCCAGTTGGTTGGTGGTAGGTCTATGGTCAGAGCGTGTCTTGGAAATGCACTACCCACCGTCTTTACGGGTTATGTAAATGTGTATGCTTTCCGCTCTCTCCCTTTCCATCTCACTCTCTCACTCACTTTCTAAAAAGCTAATTATTTCTACTGAGAGTTTACAGAGAGATCATGTCAATGAGAAAATGACAGCGATAGTAGAGATGATGAATAATTATTGAACACTGATACAAAGAACAACATAACCCTTTATAGTATCATAAAGATTTAAAAAATACCAATAACCAGTGACAAATAATGAGAAATGTAGACTTTATCCTCGCCACGCCCATCTTATCAACAGATGCGTGTCCCTCGATGTAAATAGTATAAGGCAGATAGGTTTATATTTGTATCTGTTTCCATGACTACAAGATGGGTATATGCATAACATTGCATAATACTACAATATCTTTGATTTTCACCAACAATTTTCAGCAAGTGATCCATCATTTTCATGGCATATTTATCAATGAAATGTTTGATTTTCTAGACCACAGCTATTCATGGCATTCCAGTTGTTGTCCGCACTGATATATATTTGGATGGATGTAAATAAACGGTGAGCAGTGCAGCAGAGCAGAAAAACAAACTTTCTATTTCTTCAGAATTTGTATAGAATTTAAGAGACCTCATCCATTGGCCTTATCAATTTTTAGTCAAACTCAAGGGGTAAACTATGGAACTAAATGTAGTTGAAATGGCATGTTGCTATAAATCAGAAAGAGCTAAAATCTACAACCCATTATTTTAGTTTAACCCGTTTTGTGGAAAATGGGTCATGGCTCATTACGAAGCACGGTTTTTACTATATATTTTAAGATAAATTTGAACAGGTTTATAGCCAGAATCGTGACAGGGTGGCATGCAAGATTATGGGTTAGTTTACAGGATCACAACGCAAAACAACCCTTAGAATGAAGGAAACAAAAAAGAAAGAAAAGAACAGTACTTACACAAGTGGGGTGACGTCGCTCCACAACTTAAAAGCCATCCGGACGTCGTGACGAACTTGGACTTCGCTGACTGAAGAAGCTTTACGCATGGTCGGGAAATTCACTATCCTATACGTCAACGTCTCTTTATTCCACCGGTAATTACCGCCCGCGACGTTGTAACGTCGCACGCGGTTATTCGGTTGCGTGTCCTTGTTACCGCAGCGCGGTTTTATCATCATAACTCTTGTGTCCTCCGTAATGGTTCCCGTAATGTCGATGTTGGCGTAGCGTTGAAATTCGCTGACGGCGCGTTGAAACTGTTCGCTGCCCAGCGTCTCACCTGGAGTTTTTCCTGGTTCGATGTTGCTCGTAGACAGGTAGCCGTACTTCTCGAAAAAGGGCTGTAGTGATCCACGAGATTTGGAGACAAAAAGGTAAAATGGTAGTTACAATATGAGACTGAATTCTATGTACGTCGAATAACAATTCATTGACTTTGATATTACTTAACTGTCTCATTCTTGTTCATAACTTGACCTTCCTATCTTGTAAAACAAAGCATGAAAGGGCTAATGGAGCATAGTATATAAATGCTGATTTTTCCCAGTTTTATTGAATTAATAGAGACACTTTATATAAAAGTGGTTGAAACTACAAAGGAAAACAATCGTACATATTGGGCACCAACAACGAGATGGAAGATAATAGAGGCGAGCGTCAAAAACGGACTAAAAAATTTAATCATTTATACCGGAAGAGGAATTATAACAGAGAATGTGTGAGAGAGAGAATGCATCAGAGAAAATCTCCCTTTCAAATGTATTTGGAATAAAAACTTAACTTACCAAACTTAACCTGAGGTCCGCTAGTTCGTTGTCTGATACTGGTGCGCTATGTGCTGGGTTTAACATTAAACATGAACAAAGAACCAACACGATGACATGTCTTAATGATGCTTTACTCCTCCTGTATCCTTCCATGATGAAATAAATATCTACCGTCTCTCTTATGAATACGAATCTCTTGTTAATTTGATTGTTCTAAGATTCCCTTGTGTCCAACTCACAATATCACCATGAATAAAAGTTTAATAAGTTGGGCAGACGTTATCTTGAAGATGTACTTATGCCACACGAATGAATTAAAAGCTCGCTCTTGTCCACTCGACGGAGCTAATGTTTGTGTGCCTTCTCAAATAATCACTCGATTCGACCTTGTTTCTACTTTAGTAAGTCAACACAATCAATAATGCACGCTGAACTAAATCTTCCAGTGATGAAGTTGTTATTTGCTTTTCTCCTCACAGGGCTCTCGACTGAATGTTTTTGTTGTGACTAAATCTGCTGCTGAATGCTGTGTAACTTGCGAGTTCACCCGTATTTATGAGCGCCTTTTTGAGTGACGTCATGGTAAAGTTATCGGCGGGGGTAGCGATTTGTAAATTTGATTGTTTAGTTGGCTCGATCGTCTGCTTCACTAACCGTTGCGCAGACCGACGATGCGCATGTGCGGTTGACTCATCACGGACGAGGAATACCGATAGCGAGAGAAGGGTAATGATTTGATTTGATTTAATTTAGAACATAGTATAACAAAAGTCTCTCCTTTTTTCTAGGTTTCTGTCTCTTTTCAAAGAATAAAGCTGTCTGCTTATCTCTCTGCTTGCCTCTCTCTCTCTCTGTCTCTGTCTCTGTCTCTCTCTCTCTCTCTCTTACTTTAATGTTCGTAAAGATCTTTCTCGTACATCTATCAGGAGAAGAAGAAAACAAATAAGAAAATGAATATGCCTAGATTAATATATCAAAGTAAATCTATTTTAATCTATTCAAATCTTCATATTCGAACGAACCTGATATTATGCAAACATTTTCCAGCATTTTGTAAGTCAACTGTACATTTGTTTTTCTTCACTTTATCGAATCTTGTAAATATGTGATTCTCATGATTTGTTTAAATTAATAAAATATACAAAGGAGAAAAGGAGGGAAAGACAACTGTACATCATTAGTTGCATTAACAGAACCACCTATCACAGGCGGGTAGGGGTAACGAAGGGACTTACTCAATTTTTGAGTAATAATGGGACATAATTGTTTCTCCTAGGCTACCCCTCCCATCCCCTCCCGCCCTCCTACACCCCTCCCATCCATTTCCACCCGTCCTCTATCAGGTAAGATTGGAGTGATTGATAAAGAATTGGTCTGAGAAATATGAAAAAAAGGTTGCCCCTAAGTTCTGACAACCCTGGATCCGCCCCTCTTGTTAAAGCATCATTATACCTTCCCTAAACCCTATCACACGTCTTACACGTGTTGGTGTTTACACGATGATAATGATTTGTTTTGATTCAGACGTTATACTACTTTGGTAACAAAAATAATGATGTATGCTCTTTCAGGGGCGGGTCCAGGATTTTGTAACTGAAGGGGAGAGGGGACTCAATTAGAGGAGAACCATCGTCAATTTTTTTTAAATCACAATTTTATGTGCCTTTCGGGTCTAAAAGTTTACATTTTTTTTGGAGTGTATAGTGTGTATGCACGAATGGGTTTTAAGGGGGGGCGCAAGAACGGGGTTCTACACCCTATATCTTCAGCGGTTTTGTTTACCTGCCACGCTGCACATGACTTTGTATACAATGTATTACGTCAGAGCGACCGTTTTCATTCCCTTTGTTTATGGTTACTTTTAAGTTAATTGTTTCTCTTTGTTTTTACAACCCTGGTTAATTACCTCTTTATTAATTCCTGTCAAAATAATTAACAGATGAAATATGACCATCATCGTTCCCAAAATTTCCGGTGAAACTATTCGCACGCAGCAGCTTCATTCACGCGGCACACGCAGCCAAACCGGCAATGGACAACTTCCGAAATTAGGTAACGGTTCGAACTATCCGGACACAACTACATCCTAAGTCTGATCGAATAATGGATAATCTGCTTAGGAAGGACTGGTAAAACCATTTGATGTCGGTTTAACTGATCCGTCTTAGTAGGTAGCAAGACATTTTTAGGTTCTTCCTTTCACACGCTAACTTCTTCCTGCCAGCAACTTACTCTCGATGTTTATTACTTGATTAATTTTTAAGGATAAAAAGTTATGAATAATCAGTAAAAACAAAAGTCTTAAAACTGCAATTACGTTATAAGAGTGCCATGTTTCTTTAGAAATCAGAAAATGAAAGTACGGAAGTTAGAATGGTTAGGGGGGAATGAAATGATTCCAAATAAGGAAAAATAAAAACTGAACGACACTTTGGTTTTGCATAATGTGGTAGGCCGCTACTTGGAATAAAAAAAGAAAGAAGATAAATAACTGTTTTAATTGTAGATGAAACCCTGAAGGAGACCCCAAGAATTATAATGGTTGTTGATAATCCTGCATATTACAGAGAAAATTACGAAGATTGGAATCTCATAAAATGCATTGTAGTCTGCATGTATCGTAGCGTTAACAAAAATGTCAGACAGATAGCCCACCTATCAGGGTTATTATTTACTCATCTATTCAATATGCTTTGTTTATTTGTTTTTTGTTTGCTGTTTATCAGCGTAGGACAGTTACGGCCCTCCCGCCTCCAGGAGCCACCGTCGAGGACACTAAAGCGTCAAAATGAATTGATAAGCCTACTCCAAAAATAGCAGACGACCAAATAGTCGGTACATGACTGATGATATCGATCGAGCTATTGATACAGTCATACGCTTCGCTTGATTGATCGTGCACGAATACAGTGTCGACCATATTTGGTCAGCATCTTCAGACAACCTTCGATCTTGGTCGTTAGAAAAGTTGACCAATTCTGTCCATGCAGGTGGTGCCAGGATAACAAGTTCTTGTCCGAGGGGCAAATCGAAACAGAGGCAGGTCCGGAGGGGAAATGAATAAATAAGAGAAGGGAAGGGGGGGGGGGGCTCAAGAGTTTACAAATATTTGAAAGTGGCTAATGAAATCCATGTTCTCAACCAAGTTCAACCCAGTTGGTTAGTTTTTTTTTCTCTCTTCACCCCTTTAATCTTGGTCCTTTAATCTCTACCGTCTGCCTTACCACTTAATCCCCCTCTCTCTCCTTTTGTCTACCCCCCCCCCCTCCGTTTTCTCCCCCTCCCACTGAGTGGTAATTAACCAAGCCTTCGGTCACGGTTAACGGTCATCCGTAATATGCTAATTCGACGTCTTGATCCATCCGTCTTCCCAGTTCCTCAATAGTTCCATATCTTATTGCCATACATGTACATTTGTTTGTAATATCATTTTCACGTTCTTCCGACTTGTGCATTCCATAGATTTCTCTTTTTCTTAGTATCTATCGCAATATAGGTTACTTTTAGCGTTTAGAGATAGAATGTGACCTTCAGAATGCATAAATGACTGATTTTACGGAAGTACCGGTGTCATGAGTACTATTGAGCATTTACCCGAAGATCAATCGATTAAAGCTGATTGTGACGTCATCAAACCAATGATGCTGCATTAGTGGGTTGATGTGATACATTTTTAAAGAGTTTGAATGAGAGCGATTGACAACATTCCTTCAAGTCTCTCTAAATTTTTGGGAGCCAAAAAAAATCTGATGACAAAAATTCACTTCACTTGTATAAAGAAGTGAACGAGGATGTCATTATTTTACCACTGACTTCTGCAAGGATTTTCAGGAAAAAAATTGTTTGAAGACGAATATTGATGAAAGAATACACAATAATTTAGGTTTTTCATCAATATTCATCTTCAAACTATTTGTTTTCTTAAAATCAATATTCGTCTTCAAACACACCCTTGATTTACCCGTTTTTTAATATTCAATATAATGGTTTTGATCGCAATTCGGTTTTGCCGCAATAATGTTTGTACAGCATTTTACAAATAAACGATTGATCTATTATATTAAGTCTCGATATTTTGCGTGTTCCGTTCTCTCTCTTCCTCTCTCCCTCTCTCTCTCTCTCTCTCTCTCTCTCTCTCTCTCTTCACTCTCTCTCTCTCTCCCACCCCCAACACACAAATACGCACCTCTCCCTGACCCCCTCCCTCTCTCTTTCACTTTATTCCATTTACCCCACCCCTCCTACCCCTTCTTGTTCTTGCCCCCCCCCCTCCCCTCCTAACAAAAAAAAAAGAAAAGAAAAGGGGGAAAAGGACGCAGTCTCGACAATGGCAATGATGTCAGAGCGGTTGTTATGTTAAACTAGATGTTTTAGAGTGAAATACAAATAACATTATTGAATAAAAGCCAGCAGGTGGGATTTCAATTTGAGCGTTGATCATAGCAGGAGATTCCTAATCAAGGGGAAAGACGAGAGATATTATGTTTAATAGACCACAGGATTGGCATGAGGTGTGATGATTAATGTCAAGTCGATTACCCAATCGGTTCTTCCCCTCGATATTGATGAAGCCATCAGGTAACACCCACCCATCTTCCGACATTGGTCATACCAAAGAGATCTCTCTTTGGTCATACAGACTAACAAACATTAAATACAGCGGCATATCAAGAATTGATAAGTGACAGCGGGGCGTTGGCAGGGGGTGATTCCTTCCCACACAAGAGGTAAATGGGTGTATACCTCATCCTCATGATGTGTGAGCCATTGCAAGTCTTATTGCTTTGGGGGATTCAAACGGGGGTGGGGTGGGCTCCTTGCATCCTATGATGTTGATAGTATTCATTTCCGCCACCCTGGCTTTTTCTTCCTCCCACTTTATCTCCTCTCTTCTTTTGTTTTAACCTTATAGTTTCTCTTCTTTTCTCTTTACTTCTCTACTCCTAACACTTCATTCATTTCTCTTATTTCGTTAATTTTATTCTCCCTTTCCTTATTTGCTCTCCTAATATTTGTCATGTCTCTGCTTTTTTTTCCGTTATTTCTTTTGGTCTTTTCACTCAAATAAAGTTTAAGCTCTCCGTCTGATCCCGATTTATATTTTTAAAACACTTCAGAACTTGTCCAAAACGCATACAGGTCTATCATAATATTTAGGAGTATAATTTAGATGATATCTGCGAGTTATATAAAAATAAAAATAAATAATTTTACCTGATATTTGATTTAATGGTTTATTGAGTAAAATTCGTGATTTTTTTTCACATTAATTAGTTTTGCCTTGTTTGTTTTTTAATACTGAGAACAAGAAGGGGTATGAAAATCTCCCATTAAACTCAGTTCATTCGAAGTAAATACAGAGAACCGTGAACCTATTCTTCTGAAAAATTTACTGAAAGAAAAAGAATTACAATAGGGGAGCTTTTTTTGTAAATATTTCAGGTGAAAAAGATTGCTTGGAATACGACTCCTCTTCCCCCTTTACCCCCTGCTCGCGATATTCCACAATCATTCTCTGATTAACCGTGATAACCCAATCAAGGCGAGCAGTGGTCACCACATACTGTGATTAGTGCTGGCAAACTGTCAAAGTATTCTTCGT